GGGGGGGGGGGGGGGGAATTCTGGGAGTTGAACTCCACATATCTTAAAGTTGCCAAGGTTGAGAAACACTGGTCCAGAGCGATGAGATAATCTTTGGGAGCAGCTCAGGCAGGTCCCTCCCTAATTCACTGGAGTTTCAGAAGGTGGAGGAGGTCCAGCACAATCAGACTTGCAAGATTCCATGATTAGAGCCCAACTCCATAAAAGTAGTTTTAGTCTTCCTGGGGAGATGATTCCCTGGTCTGGTCTACCCAGGGAGCTGAAATGGTATTGTCAGAAAAGATCTAACCATGACCTATGTTGCAGGATGGTTTGTATCTCCCAAAGGTAATGCAAAATGTCTCTGGCCAAGTTTTAAGTTTAACCAAAAGGAGGAGGGGCTACAGAGGCGCAGACTCAGGTTCAGACATGCTAGGCATTAGGAACATGGCTGCATATTATAGTCAAGAAGAACATGGCAGAAAAGAGCGCTTTGAACTCTTCAACGCGTGGTGACAGGAACACTAGTTAACTATGAGATTCCCATTCTCCAGGGTCTGTACACCAAGGCTCAGTCTCTCTGTATGGAGGAACTAGAAGTCCTAATGTGGAAAGAAAACATGACCTGAGAAGTATCATAGAAACCTGCTGGAATGAAAACCGCCAAGAAGCCATAGGCCTGGGAAGAAATCCATGTCCCTAAATATGGAAGTCCTGCTGAAAGCATCTGAGGAAGATTGAAAGGAGTAAGAAGGAAAAGTGAAACCATTCTGGAGTTTACTGCTGGTCATCCAACCAGCCAGAGGAGTAGGTTTCAAAATCAATTTCTAGATAAAGTTCTCAAGAGAGCAGGCTGTAGGGTTAACGGGAGACATCGTCTGCCCTGTCTGTTAGGAGTGAACAGGAGCGCCAACAGGGTCCTGATATCTCTTGCTGACAATTTCATTCTTCGGAAGGTGGGAGAAGAAACAAGGGATCAGGTGTCCTGAATCTAAACCTCATCCAAAGAAAGGAGGTGGCAATGTATTGTCGAAGGCTTTCACGGCCGGCATACGATGGCTGGTGTGGGTCTTCCGGGCTGTGTGGCCGTGGTCTGGAAGTTCTGTATCTCTCTGTGCCGAGAGAAAACCGCTCCTGTCTGTGCTCCTGCCCTCTGAAGATGCCGGTCACAGGTGCT